CCTTGCTTTCTGGCAGCATCAAGCACACAGACTGATTTACCTAACTGAACATCTGTGGTGAACCGCAGCCTATGGATCATGCTGACTTTGAAAGACTTGTAATGGTGGCTGCTTAGCATGTCCTGAACAGTAGCGATATCAATCTGTGGGTCCTCTTCCGAGATCTCCTCTCCTCTTGAACCTGCAAAACAATAACCATTTGGGGGAGAAAAATGAAAAAGAAGAAGAAACACATCTGGCTCCTGTCAAGTAACATACGTATTGCAACTGAAAAGCTAGGATGACAGCCATCTGCAGAACCGCAGAAGAGATCAGTAGATGTACTTAGGACCCACCATAAAATTTAATGGAAAGGGAGATTCTGTACCGACGTGAATCAAACCGTGCCTATCATCAGCCAATCTCTGCGCAGAAGTGCACTGCTATTTGCCTATATTCCATAGCATTCATCTCACTGCTGTGAGTCAGGGGCAATAACAGGAATACTCAGCTCTTATACAGCACTGGCCTGGACAGTCCAGGCAAGCCCGATCTTGTGAGATCTCGTAAGCTAAGCAGGCTCGGCTCTGGCTAGTAAATGGATGGGAGACCTCCAAGGAATACCACGGCTGTGACGTGGAGGCAGCTATTGGCAAACCACCTCAGAAATCTCTTTGAAAGCCCACAGGGTCACCATAAGTCACCTGTGACTTTCCACCACCGTACGGCACTGAGAACGTTCTGAAGCGCTTCATATAGATCATCTCAGCAGCAAGCCTGTAGAGGTCCTGGCCTGGGGTATCTCGTGTCCTGCCACACTCTGGTGGGTGTGGGCTTCACTGCAGTGGGGTATCTCGTGCCCCCGACAGGGAATGTCGGCCTGAGTGTCCTGGCAACTGGGACACGCTCCCCCTTTCCCCCCGAACAATGCACAAGTATTTTGGGGTACCTGCAAGTCAGTCTCCAGAAAACCCCCTGAAAGGGGAGGCACTTTTTGCTGGTGAGAAAACTGGGGGCTCCCATTTGGACTCACCCTGAGCAAATGTAACCCACCTCAAGTCTTTCTTTCTTTATTATATTGGACTTATAGACTGCCCTTCCCTGCTTAGAAGGACTCAGGGTGGGTCACATCAATAACAAATAGTATTAAAGCAATAAATACAAGTTAATCATTAAACATTAAAACCCAAATAATACTACAATTAAAACCGAACAGTCAGAAGGTAGGCAATATTTCAACACAGGTTTGGTGCATCTTCTTTCAATAGAGAGTCTCCTTTGTGTGCATCCACGGATGCTGGGATAGTGGTATTGCTGGTGAATGGACAGGGGGAAGGCTAGTACTGATTAAATTACCGCTGCCTCAACCATGGCTCCATTTTACAGGCCCTTCTGAACTGCATTAGGTCCCGCAGGGCCCAGATCTCACTCGTGAGAGTGTTCCGCCAGTTAGAGTATGCAACATGTTGAACGTAATTTATATGTTCACAAATGTCTCACTGTGAAAACCTAGATTTTAATGGCGTTCTCCTTGCTGCTGCAGAACTGGCTTCCGAAAATAAGATAACGTCTCATTAAGACAAAATGCCAATTATGAAAAAAAGTTTTTTTTCCTTTTTAAAGATTTTACGATGTTGGATTAACACCAATTTAAAAATTACTATAACGTGACACGCAATTTTTTTTCCCACAGAGCAATTTCTACGCCAGCTGCTAATAAAGCATCTTAGCTGTAAATGATAATTCAGATGCTTTTAGATAAAGTGGTGCGTGGATACGGCCGAGAAAATTGATTTAGCTTTTCACAGAAGATACTACGAGAGTGACACATTTTGTTTAATATGCCAGCTAATGTAATCCTAAAAGCCGAAACAACTGCCAGTTTCGCAGCCCTAAATTTTGCTGTGAGAGATTAATGAAAACTTTCAGATTTTTTTTTTGCTGAAATATATTTTTAATAAACGAGAAGATGGGATTTTAGAAGAGGGGGCTGAACAGCAGCAGTAAAAGCAGAAACGTGGCTTGTCAATGTCTATATATTAATTCTGCACAAGACATACAGTATTGGAACTGGCTCAACACCATAATGCATCTCAATCTAGCCTTCTAACCCCAAGGTGTGTAAATTCATACCCCAAACTGGCAAGTCGCCCCCAATCGGGAGGAAATTGATCAGGTTGCCCAGGTATGTTATGTCTGGCACCTCTGAATTTTCTCCATTTTTACAATGTCCCATAAAAACAGCCTCATTGGATCAGACACAAGGTCCAACTCATCCACAATCCTGTTTCCAGCAGTCTCCAATCAGGTACCTCTGGAAAGCAGCAGGACATGAAGGCAACAGGCTCCCCTCCTGCTGTCTGGGTCCCAAGTAAATGGTATTCAAAGATATACTGCCTATGTACATGGAGGTTCTGATTCTATCATGGGTAACATAAACAAATGAACAGATCAAGATCAATCCTCTTCCCAGCAATGGCCAGCCAGATGCTGCCAGAATACCACAAGTACAGCATGAAGGCAACAGCTGTCTTCTGCTCACTGCTCCCAAACTGCTGGTACACTACCTCTGAACCTGGAAGTTCAATGTAGCTTTCTTGGCTACTAGCTGCTGATACACTTATGCTCTGTGAACATGTAACCTTTTAAACCCAACTGTAACGGGGGAGGGGAGTGTACCTCTTGTAGCAAGGGGAAGCGAGTTGAAGAATCAGGGTCAGGACCACACAATTAAGACTCTCACAGAGATCAGAATCCAGCAAAAGCAGGCAGGGGTGACCAGCAACAGGGAGCAAGAGACACAAGTCACTGGAATCAGGGCCTGCAGGCTATTCCTGCCCAGGATAGCTGCCAGGCAGGAAATAGCAGTGTTGCCATAGAAGCCTTTGTATGCTAAAATGGTCAGAGGGGAGCAATGGACTGCCTGAGTTGGATGGAGTCATCCTGCATCCTGGGAATTTTTCAGTCTGCAATCCTGAGGGGTTTGCAAATAAGGGGTCAAACACGGCATATGTCCAAAGGTTCTTGGTGTCACTGCTGCTTCCCCACTTTTGCTTTGCTGTGATCACCCATACACCAGCTGGGGATGCTGTCTGAGCTATAAGCTCAGCATGGGCTGAAGGGGAAATGTGCGTGAATGACCCATCACCTGTGGAACTCCTTCCCCTCCAGGCTTGCGCCAGTGTACACAGGTTTTCCCTGAAAACATCACAAGACACTCCCCTCGTGTTTATGTTGGCTTTTACTGGCCTCGGGGAAGGTCAGATTCTAAAGGGTGGGCAAATTCAGCCTGTTCTGTTTGAACTGGATACTATGTTAACCCATCCTTGCTTTAAATTGCAAGCAGGGCGAGCAAAGCCTGAAATTTAAGTTAAAATAACACACACACACACACACACACACACACACACACACACACACACACATATTAAAAAAGAGGTGGCATCCCTGCAGCCCATTTCTCTTGTCTGCACAAAATGGGGGGGGGGGAATAGGAGAGAAGATAAGACATGCCTCAAAAATAGCATATCGCTCGACATAAAATGTAAGAAAGACAGGCTCAACTGGGATGCAAGGATTCAGGCAGATGGCCCCGTCATCACAATTTCACACCCCAATGCTGTGTCGCGCGAAACGCCATAGGACTTTTGAATCTGCAAAGCGACTCAAGCTTGTTTGTCTTCCTATGAGCGAGATGGACAGAAGGAAGCAAAGTGCCACCCACTGTTGTAAGGACCATCTTGACCTACAGAGACCTGCAAGACCAAGTACAATGGCTCCTGTGGAGGTGTCCCTGACGCCTGTGCTGATATTGCCATGCTATGAACTATTGCCGTCGTTTATCATACCAAATCCATAGCTCCAACGTGGATGCTCTAAAGAGTCCCTCTCAGATGCTCACTGTTGTCTCTGGAGATGGGGCTTTAAAAAAACACAGTGACCGGGCTTAATCTGAACCAGAGGTCACCAAGGCTTCAGCCCTTCACACTGGCTTTCAGCGCCACAGCTCTGCTCCAGAACATGGAGCCAAGATGCCAGCAAAATGCAGTGGCAAGAGCACTGGACTAGGGGAGAGAGGTGTCAAGCACCTGACATAAATGTCACTTTGTTGGGCCGGGCCATGTGTGCCATAAAATGTAATGCCAGGTACCGGAGATAGAAACTGTATAAAGGGCAGCAGCTGGTCAACTCTGAGTTGGTGTATCCTCACTGCAAGGCCCCATGGGCTGGGAGGGGGGGGTCCAGAGGAAAGGCAGCCGTGCAGCGCTGGGCAGATGCTCCCACAATGCTTGACTGCTGCAGACGAGGCTGTGCTATTGTGAAATCACAACAGAGGGGCCCCCCCCCCCCCCCAGTACTCCCTTCCTTGCACCAGTTGCTCACGGGCTGCATAAGAGCCCTGGACGGGCCAGTTCCAGCCCCGAGTCTTATGTTCGACACCTCTGGACTGGGGGGGGCAGGGTGGGTGTCTGGAAATTCAGATCCAAGTCCCAACTCGGCTCTAAAGTTCACCGTGCATGCCAACATCTTTCAACCTCTCTTTAGGAGCCTCAAGAAAGGTGTGCTCAGGTCCTGGAAAGAAGGCTGCGACACAAAAATGCAACCAGTTCTGGAAACAGCCCTTTAAGGCACAGCAAATGAGGTAATTGTTATCAGATAACATCCCCATCCAGTAGCACGGGATTACGCTACGTGGGATCAGGCCAGCCACTCTGCGTCTGTATTTTTCCCTTCTGTGGATCTAGTGGCATATTTAAGGAATAGCATGGGTGGAGACCGGTTTAAACCCCCCCCCCCATACCCACACAGCTTCTACCTCCTGCACCTTAAAAACAAACAAACCAGGAGATCTGATCATGGATTTTTACATTACATCTTTTGGTGGTGTTCTCTCCGCCAAATCAATCTCTCAGGGTTGTTGAGGGGATAAAACAGATCACCCAGCATGCATTTCTTGGAGCAAGGGATTCGAATGTGAAAACCAGAAAAAAGAAAATTTTAAAAAGAAAGATGCAAGTCACGGGTAGTGTGGTGGAACTGGGAGAGTGCAAAGCAGACCCTTCAGACCCAACATGATACAAGAAGGGAGTGGGCATCTGCTTGTCTTTTTAACACTGCATAGATGTCACTCCAAAAGATGTTCAAGCAGCTGAATCATGGGCTTAAAGGATGACAATTCACATCAAGGAGAACAAAATTAGC